GAGCTGCGGAGCTGGAGCTCTGACAGTAGAGCTATGGAGCTGCGGAGCTGAGGCTATGGAATACGGAGCTCTGGTGGTGGAGCTGTGAAGTATAGAGCTGGTGCTCCCTGGGTGTGAAGACCATCATTCCTGCCCTCAGCTGGGAGAGCCGACACTGAGTGACGACTGGAACCAGATCAGCAAAAATTGCTTTTAAGGAAGATGAATGTGTCAGAAATACAATCTGCTGTTGCAAACAAGAGTTGATCGCTTCAGTTGAAAGAGCTGCGGGGCCATATGTAAACCAAGCAGTGATAAAGCCCTCTGTCTTGATCTGAGGAAAGGTGCACAGGAAAATGTGATGCGATAAAAGAGACGTTTCTGGACTTCCTTGGGAGAGTATCTACAAGAGCGTGGAGCGCACAGACCTCTGTTTATTGAACTGCTCTGCAATACATCTGATTTCTTTATAATATAGAAGAAAACTCTGTAATGTGTTGTCAACACATTAAGTGTCAGGATAGTAAGTGATAAAAGTCGTTGTTTGTACAAAGCAATGTATTTATTTCATCCCGCACATTTAACAATGAAAGCTGAAGAAAACATACTGCAAAAAGGTAAAAAGGTATTTAATGGCAGCAGTCTTATCAGGGTTAAAGAAAAGTTTCCACAAATATTAAAACACATCACCTTTCCCTAAATTGAAAGAGTAAATTTTTAATGTCCCCTCACTCATCTGGGGGCAACGCATCTGATCAGATTATCTTCAGCTATTCAACGATGGAAAAAATATAGCTCCTTCGCCTTCAGTGCTCAGTACCTGACTGTTGTCAGTGAAGACAAGTCTTTATGGTTCTGTGGTGCCAGGAATCTATGACTTGTGTCTTCTTCGCTTCTCTCCTTCCTGCGTGCTCTGGCAGTTTGTGGTCACGTGAGCTTGATCACACGGCTGGCCTGATCCAGAAAACTCCGCTCTCGAGGTGTTTGGACATGTGATGGCTTCACTCTGTTGCCGGCCGCTTACCTGATCAGATCACAGCTTAGTATCGGTTAAGGCCCCGGCGGTATCTTATCCTGCTATCTCTATCAATTCCGATAACACCAGTGCCACAGGGGACAAGCTGAGGGCAACTGCCCTCCACATACGCAACAAAGAAAACCAATCATTAGTCCAGACCGCTTGTTCATGTCAAGGATCCTGTTGTAATAGTATGAAGGGTCATCACAGCATTACTTGCTTCTCAGTAATTAATCTCTCGTCATCTTCGTTTTCTTCTTTTCCTATAGCCGGCAAATCTCTTCCCAGAATTTAGAATACCAGCATGTCCCGAAAGAGGCCAGAGATGATAACACACACAGCTGGGTTGTGGTTGTTTTAAAATGGAGACTGCAAGAGGGGGACCTTGCACACGTTATACGCAACAATTTCCATATGGTATGAATGACACTTGGGAAAGAGGATGAGATGAATCAAAGGCCTTTTAATCAATATAAAGTCTCTTCTTTTCCTAGATTTCGAGTCCCATCCGCAAGCTGAGATATATTTGAGAGGCTAAAACCTTTAGATCATTCCCATGGGATCGACTTCTGTCTGTTTTCGTTGTGTGGAATGAGATCCTGCTGTATGGTTGCTCTATCTCTTGATGCTCGCTGTCTGGTTGGACGCACTGGTAACAGGAAGTGGGGCGAAGAAAGTAAAAGAGAGGTTTGTTTCAATGAAGCCCTTTGTGATTTCTCTTGCAGGCTCTCGATGTCGACCGGAGTGTCTTGTACAAGATGAAGAAATCGGTGAAAGCAATTTATACTTCGGGTCTGGGTAAGAACAAGCAGCCTTTTCTCATCTTTTCATTCACGTGCTCCTTCTGCCTTGCCGTGTAGATGCCGGATTAAGGATCATAATGGAATTAAATGCCGCGGGTAATTAAAAGAGAATGGCGTTAGTCAAGGATGGGATTTCAGACACTGAACGGCAGGTGGCACGTTAAGAGGATTGGAGGGTGAAGGGTCAGATGTGTGGTGTGCTTTTAAAGATATGATCTCTGCTTACCTGGCGCATTCTTCAAATGCCTCGTCACTGACCCGTAACAACAGGTTTGGAGTTCAGGTTGGGTTTGTTTCTTCTCCAATAACAAATTGTTTCTCTAAATGTTTCCTCTGAATGTCCGTCTGGTTTACCAGTGAGTGACCTTGGGAGTTTCGGGTATGAGGTCTTGTTTAATGAGCCGAATGGATGGACCTGCTCTTCATAAACTTTAATATTTAACCGTCACTGAGAATGGCAGATAAAAAGCTGGTCTAAAACCTAAACTCTTGTTTAAGAGGATGACCGATAATTTTTGATAATCAAGAAGCAAGGCAAGAGGCTGAACGTCTGAGGAAAACCCCCCAGTTATCGTTGGCTGTGTGGTGTGAGTGTAATTTGATGAGCCAGATAGTTTAACAACTGTGTTTCCTGGTTAGCCTATTATTCAATCAAATGGTTACTTCAGTCTTTCAGGTTTTTTTTATGTAGTAATAAGCTTTTGCCCATTGAAAAACGAAGACCTTATGACTTATGTGTGCAAAGTGCACTTTACTTCACATATGTATCATTTGAGGTTTACAAAACCTGGTTTCCACACCTCATCAGTATGTTTTAACCAAAAAAAAACATTATAGGATTGATTTCCGTTTTCTGTCATGTTAGAAACTCAGTCGGCAGCATTGTATTCAGTTGAACAGTTCATAGGTAGGACAGTTGTGTGCAAAAGTCACTTTCAGTCAGAAGTCAAAGAGAGTCGTGGGATCAGGCCTTTGTCATGGAGGGGGGGTGGTGGAAGTGAAAAATGCTGCTTTGTTTTTCTTTGGTACTGGAGGCAGCTGGCCTGTGCCTGCAGTGCTCGGCGGCAGCTGGGGCGTCTGCAGGGTCGTGGCGGTTTGAGAGCTCGCGAGCGGAGCAGGTCTGTCAGGTCCGGGAGGGGCGCGCAGCCCGCCGCCTGACGACACTGTGCGCCATTTGGGCTTCCAGCGCTGCCGCAGAGACGCCCAGCAGCTCTCCCCTCACTGGCTTCCTGCTTTCCTGAAATAGCACTTCCTTACAACTTCTTAATAAAGCCTGAAGCGATAGTTGTTCCTTTGGAAAAACAATGACACCCTCCTGCCCGCAGCCTCTGCTTTAGAAGTTAAGTGCTCGAGTGGAAGGAAGCGTTTTGGCCTATTTTTAATCGGAGGGCTGAGGTTTGGGGGGGGTTGTTGAATAGCGCTGGATTTAACCCGTCAAGTCTAGAACAGTCCGCCACCAGACCGACTCGCTCTGCTGTGGGTCTCCTCCCCCACCGCTGGCACCACACCTGCCTCCTCCGCGGAGGAGAAAAAAAAACCTTCATCACTGCACGAGGTTTTGAGGTGACTGTGAACCAGATACAATTAATCCTTCGTTCACAAATCGCCAACCTGAAAAAAGTGCAGCACCAACAAAGGCGACACCATATAGTGTGGGGGTCTGTCATCAGCGCACTGCGGGCAAGTTAATTTCATTCAGTCAAGGCCTAACCAGAAGAGGAAGAATCAACCGTGAATGAACAAACATGCTTAGCATTTCATACTCTAGGACTTCTGGGTAATGGTGTGCTGATAAAGCCCATTTTCCTATTTAAACAACCGTACCACAGTGCCAGAAAGTTTGTTACATGAATGAACAACAGCAGCGTATCTCGGCAGGCGTTGTGACAGGAAGTGCGATGGTATTTTTGTGTCCTAGCTAAGCTTTGCGTGCCCACTGGTTGACACAGTCATGTCTGGGCCCTTTGCTTTTGTGCTGTCATTACCAACGCTCTGCTTTGCATGGTTTATTATACAAAATTGCTTCACGAGATATCTCAGCTATACAGTTGCATGCAAATTTAAATTCTTGTCATGCAAAACTTAAGCGTCTTTTTGTATTATTTGACTAAGTACTGAGCCTTTAGATCTCCTGGACAGTTTATTTAAACCATGGGTTCGCTCCTTCCAGTCCATAGGCTGTCTGCTAATTGCGTTTCATCATAGTGGTGATTCAGCATTTGTTTAATGTGCTGGGAAGAACATCAACTCAAAGTACTCCCCTGTGGCTCTGCAATTCAATTCTTTATTTTTTTTTCCTGCACTAGAGATGTAATTATTTTTGGACGACTTGTAAAGGTTAAATTAACGAACCGGAACCAGACTGTGGATTTGAGAGGCGGCAGGAGTGGCAGCGCATTACCACAGTTATAACGGGCACCGTTGGTCAATCTCTCTTGCTGGAGACTGGGAGATCGATCAGGCAGCAGCGGTTATAATTAATGTACACCGCACAAGCAGTGAAATCTGTCTCCGAGAGCACGTACAGCATCCCAATCTTCCCTACTCTGCTGGGGAGGAAATGTATTTTTATTGGTTTTTGACCTGGTATTTGTTTTTCCTCACTGAAGCCATGCGTTGGTATTCTGTCAGGAGATGCATGTGGTTTCAGAGCCTCTGTGCAAGGAGTAGTTCTTTTTTCCTTTCATTTGCTGATGTAGTTTCCGCAGGTCTTTCCCCCCGGCGGCTGTCAGGGTGTATAACGCTGCCCTAGGACTAGGACTGTTAGCCCTTCATCTGCTCCTCTATGGGCAGCATGTTTGCTCCATTGTACTTTTTGGACAATCAGTCTGTGTAAACCCATGCACATTTTGCACATATTTGATTGTTTTTACAGTGACTATGGTCATCACATTTTGCACACACCTATTTATTTATTTTGTTCTTTTGTTTTATAACTATTCTGATGTCTGTTTTTGTTTGTCTTGGGCTGGACTGCTGTCACACATCAATTTCCCTACGGGATTAATAAAGTATTATCTAGCTATCTATCTATCGTGACGGGGAGAGACCCAGCATGTATGATTTACACCCTGCTTAAACCTGTTTTCAATTCAATTTTGGATCGGGGGGTGGGGGGAACTGGCATTGGTTTTGTGAAACAGTTCAATCGGATTTGAATAGTTTGGAGCCACAGGTGGCCACTCCTTGCTGTAGCTGTTGTGTGTGACGGACGCGTTGTGCGAGTGCTGTGAAACTGGGAGCCTCGGAGAAGCTGCCGGGGTTTTAGAGGAGGAAGCGGGAGTTGGGCAGACAAGTCGCCCTGATCTGAGGACAGGAGGGGACCTGCTGTGGCAGCCTGGTCAGTCCCTGGATGGGAGACCTCCTGGGAAAAGCTAAGGCTGCTGCTGGAAGAGGTGTTAGTGGGGCCAGCAGGGGGCGCTCACCCTGTGGTCTGTGTGGGTCCTTATGCCCCAGTATGGTGACGGGGACACTATACTGTATAAAGACGCCGTCCTTCAGATGAGACGTAAAACTGAGGTCCTGACTCTCTGTGCTCATTAAAAATCCCAGGGTGTTACCAGTCATGGCCTCCTAATAATCCCCATCTCTGAACTGGCTTCATCACTCTGCTCTCCTCCCCACTGAGAGCTGGTGTGTGGTGAGTGTACTGGTGCACTATGGCTGCCGTCGCATCATCCAGGTGGGGATACCCATTACCTGTGAAGCGCTAAAGAAGAGTTATAAATGTTATTTGATGGGTCCTGCCCCACTCTGAAACCAAACGGACATGTCTTTGCTTTTCTGGGCTGTGACTCACTCTCCTAAAGCTGGTGTTTTGTTGGTCTTCACGGCCACAGCACAGGAGATGAGGCAGTAAGCCATTGGCCTTGGCCTTTGAACCTGGAAGTGATTTCTGTTCTATGTAAGGTTTTGTTTGAGCAGGATAGGGGGGTTAGTCTTGCATTGTCCTTATTCACATCGGCAATCTTATTAGTTTTAGCACCATTTTGTGTTTTGGCTGTGAGGATTGATCTGTACAGGAAGACATATTAAAAGTTCCCTGGTTGGCAGATGTTTCAGTCCCAGTTATTGCAGGTTAAAGCGTCCTGTGGCTGTTCCTTGATCAGCTCAAGGCCATACAGTCTTAACATGTTCATGGTTGAGCTGCACTTCTAATTAGAAGTCAATCAAATAAATTCTTTGGGAGGAAATTACAGAGGGAGCTTGTGTTTTTCAAATGATGTCCCATTGATTCGTTAAAATGTTTCTTGCTAGCATCGGAGTTTACATCTGTCTCTAAATTTGCTTTTTTTGCCAGTACATTGTCGAATCGTTAATGTGAAAAAAGCACGTTTCTTTGCTGGTGCACGCATTTTTGTATCTTCGAAGGCAGTGTAAGTGTCTTTATAATGTGCATCAGTATGTTTGTTTGTTTTGCCACCAGCGTTCTTCTCGGTAAATGCTTTATTGTTAAGGGCTTACAATGGTAAACCACCTTGCTGTGGTTGACCACACAGGACAGCTCCTTTATTAAACCGTCTTGGAAATCCAGCTGTAGTCGAGGGCTGGCAGAAAAAGAGAGAGGAAAATCCCTTGGGCCCATTTTTGCTTCCCTAATTTCTGTGTGGCCCCCAGATTCAGAAATATTATGTCACAGTTAAGTCTCTATTGGCATAAAGCCCTTTAAAGAAAAGATGTATTGAATACAGCTGAGTCTTGCACGTTTTGTCCTGCAGTAAGCTATAATTCATAGGTATTTATATACTGTTTCAATGGGTTCTCATTGAGAGCGTTACTATGACGTGTTCATGTGGGTGATACTGTCTGGCTTTTCCCAGTTCTAACCTCTTTCAAAGAGTTCTCCATTGCCAAAAATGTCTTTGTACTCACATTAGTTGGTCTGAATTCACATGGCACTCTTTCAAGTATTAAAAATATCCTGTACTTCAAAAGCATAAGCCTTTTACATTTTTTTGTTTTTGTGGGCGAGTTTGCCGTACTATACTGTATACG